CACAGCAGTTGTCAGGGTGCACGGCTCTTCCTTGAAAGGGATTGCCCTTGTCTGTCTGAGATGTTCTAACGAAAACCACAGACTGGTGGCTTATAAACCACAGGGCTTTCTTTCTCACAGTTCTGGAAGCTGAACGTCAGAGGCCAAGGTGCCAGCCAGGTCAGATTCTGGTGAAGGCCCCTTCTTAATGTGTCCTCACACGGCAAAGGGACGAGGGAGCTCTCTGCCAACTTTTTTTTTTTTTTTTTTTTTAATTTGGTAGAGGAGGTATGCCCTTGTCAGTGAAAGACAAGAAAGAGGGAGAGGGAGAGGGAGGACTCATCCCCAGTGCCGTATAGTCACGCTATAATCTCTTCATTTCTCTACCCGAGATCCCGGGCATGCGGGCACATGCACCCGGGCTGTTGTTCAAGCCGCCATTCGAGTTGTGTGATGGACCCTATGGGACACAAGTCCCTTGCCCACCAGGCCAGCCTCAGAACCTCTCTGATAAGGACACTGACCCCCTTCAGGAGAACTTCACCCTTACACTCTCATCACTCCCCAGAGGCCCTGCCTCCTAGTCTCATCACTTCGGGGACTGGGTTTCAGCGAATGGACCTGGGGGAGACGCAGACATTCAGGTTGCAGCGTCCCGAAAATCAGCGGGATAAGCCTCCAGGATGGCCACCCAGGGAGACCTTGTTGGGGTCATTGCAGGAGCTTGGCAGCCTGCCTGGTGGCCAGGAGGGACTTCTGCCTCCGCAGGTGTGCAGCCTCGGGCACACAGCCAGCACCCACAGTGAAGTGGGGACAGTTATGGCCATCAGAGTTGCTGAGGCTGTGAGTCACCACACCCTGGGCACCTGCCTACAGCAGGGCCTCACAGAGGCACAGCAGGGAACTCGAAGGCACTCACTTCCCTGAATTCCCTGGCAATACTCCCTGAGGGGCTGTCCCGTTCTGCCTTTTCACCAACCGACCGCAGGCTCGGTGAAACGTGTTCCTGGGCTGTGAGGCCTTTCTTAGCAAGAAAAATCCCACCTTCGAGTCAGAGCCACCTCTTTTCTCTTCCTTTCCCCTCCACTCCCTAGACAGTCACCACTTAATCCAAAACACGGCTTCCTTTCCACCCCAAAAACCCCCTCTCGCAGACTGAACGTGTCTCTTGGTTGCCACTGGGAGACGGTCACAGTTCTGCAGCCACCGGTCCTGCCACTCCGACAGTCCTTCCTGGCTCTGTCCTGCAGGCCGCCAGCTGCCGTGCAGTCCCTCACATGAGCAACTGGACGGCAGTCTAGACAGTACGTGATCCTCGCTGCGTCTCAGCCCCGGGGCGAGCACGGTGATGTCATCACACCCCGTGCTGAGGGCGTTCCCGGCCCCAGGCAGCTAGCGAGCAGTCACGGGGCAGGAAAAGCATTTCTGCGTTCCCTGGCAGGTGACATCCGTCCGCCACAGCAGTGACCTTGGTGACAGAGATG